TGAGAGGAAAAGGGATTTTTTTTTTCCTTAGGCTGCAGCTACCTTGACAAAAATTCTCATGGCCTGTGACTGACCCACAGGAGCAGCCAGGAGGGCAGGGCCAGAGCAGGCTGGTGTAATTGCCTCAGCCCGGAGCTCTCYTCCCAAACGGAGAAGCCAGAGGGAGTTATGAGTTTGAGCTAGTGCACGTTTGTGTCAAGCTCCAAGCGCCCTGCTCTGCTCGTCTTCACTAATTAGGGCCCTCTATTTTGGTCCCACGTCTGACGGAGATACTGGAGAAGCAGGTTTTGCACGGAAGGCCCATTAGCTAGACTCAAGCTCACAGCTGGGTTGTGCATTCAACAAGTCACTCAGCAATACGGCCAGGAACCAAGCTAGCAGGGTAAGGCTAACACCAAACGATTCCACATCCAGAGCCTTTGGGGCCTTATTTTACTAAGAATATAGCATAAGGATGTGRGGAGTCCTTGTGGTGATACCCCTGCTGGGGGAGCACAACGTGTGAGGGACCTGGGGGAGCTGAGCAGCACAGAGGACCGGAGAAGGAGCTGAGTCRAGGGCAGCAGCAGAGCACAAACAGCTCCTGAACCTCAGCCCGTTTCCTGTGTGAGGGCTATGACTTATGCCCAGTAAACCATTAGAAATCCCAAGGGRAAAAAAAAAAATGGTTCCATTGGGAAGGTGGGTTTGGATCCACCTTCCTGAATGGCTCCACTTTGGGATGCTGACAGGGATGCTGGTTGCCCCTGTGGTGAGGGAAGATGCTGGGCTGTTCCCCTCGTGTCGGCACGCAGAGGGCCTGGGCAGGCGCCGGTTTTTCCCATCCCAGCCCAACAAAAGGTTGCGCCTTGGAGAGCGAGATGCCAAGGAAAGCGGGTCCCGCTGCTGGGGCGGCCAGCCAGGCGTGGCTGCTGCCCCTGCCTGCTCAGCAGGCGCCGGAGCCGGCGGAAACACAGGCCAAACTGAACCAGGAGCGAGGTGGCTCCGGGAGGCAGCCGAGCGCCTCCCCCTTCCCAAAGAGGGGCTTGTTGCTCCACGGTGCAAGGAGAGAGGCGGATGCTCATGTACCTCTCGCGAGCCTCCTCCCTGCTCCATGACAAGGTGAACGGACGTGCCAAAGATTTTTCTGTCCCATTCCCCAGGTTGTCTTTGGTCACCCAATAGTGCAGCCATCTCAGCCACCTGGCACCTCCTTCCTTACCTGCCTTGCAATTCCTGTTTCCACTTGCAGCTCTGTTTCCACTTTGGTGCTCCCTGCTGAGGATGCTGCAGCCATCACAGAGCACTTCCTGAAACACATCAAGGGAGCAGATCTTGGAAAACATTCCAAAACAATTAAGTGAAAGCCCATTAGGGGGCTTTGAGGTACTTAATACAGAAGCCAACACTGCTCACAAGGACGATGTGCAGTCGGGTGCAGCTCCTGGCAAAGCGGGGCTGAGTGCTGGCAGAGCTGAGCAGCCGCCCCTTATTGGARGCAAGGGAAGTGAAAAAGGAAAGGCCGCCCCGAGGCTCTCCCTCCACACAGCTAAATTGTATCCCTGAAGCACCAAACCCTCAAACCCACGTTCACATTTTTCTCCAGTCCTCTGCGYTGCCCTCCCTGCTGGGGAGCAGAGGGACCGAAGCCTGGTTTGCATCAGCCTCGCGAGGAGGCTGGAGGAAGGCTCAGGCAGGGAACCGGACACGCTCAACTTCATTCTCCGTCAGGAGAAAAACCCAAACAAGCCGTTTTTATGACCTCCACATCCCATTACAGCACGATCCGCTTCCGGATGGCGACAGGCAGAGCCAGCTCCGAGGAGGCACCGTGGGGACGGGGAAGGGCCCCGGCGCCTCTGCGGGCTCGGAGGCGCCGCGTTCCCGAGCTGACACTGCCCTCGCACGGCAGCACGGAGCGGCGGGCGCAGCGCCAGGCTCAGCACGTTAGCCGACGTCTGCCCCTTTTCCCAGCACAGATTTATTAGAGAGATCGGACAGATTCCTCCTTGGTTTTGAATGCAAAGTCCTGTGGGGGCTTCTGGGCAAAGAAACAACTTTTCAAAGAAAACTTTTCAGGCAAAGTTTTTGGACCCGTTTCTGGCATTATTTTCTCATCATAGCCAAAAAATAAACCTGCAAGCCTTTTCCCTGACATTTGCAACACGATGGTCAGGAAGAGCAGCAAAGTGGGGAAAAGATGAAATTAAACTAAACAAAGCACTTAACTGAGGAAGAAGAGGACGTCAGCTGGTTTAACCCGGGGGTGCTGCCGGTCAGCACYGCTCTGGAGCGGCTCCATGAACCAAATCAAATGTGCCTGTTTTCGAAGAAAGCAGAAACTCRGGCTTGATTTAGACACAGAAGAGATTCATCAGGAAACAGGTGAATCAAATAAGTTGCTGCACTTGCCTCACGGTTCCTGATAGGTGGAAAAATCCCTCACAGAAAAGCTCAGCATTCCCTGGAATATGAGGTAACGTGGTTATCCAGCTGACTTCATCTTGCTCACAAGGTCTTTTGGTTACATCCAAGAGCATCAGCGACTTGTATCTGTGCCCCCCACACAGCTTTGCCATAAAGAAACCTATCACTTGACTTTGCTACTTCAGGCTTGACATTCCCTGGTCTGCAAGAACCGTCCTCCCCTCCACGTCTGCAAGATTTTCAGYCCAGGGAGGCAAAGGACAGGGGATGAGAAGCCTGGCACAACACAGTCACGCGCAGGGCAGCCAATATTCTAAATGCAGAAAGGCAAACACAGAGGGAAATGCAGACCTTATTGCTAGATAGATCATTTATTAAAGTGAAATTCGGCATTTTCATCTTTGTCAGACAGTACAGGGTTAAAGGCTCGTACACAGTGGAAGCAGGACATTTCCTACACCTCAGAGAAAGGAGTTCTATGGTTTTGCTATGTTACTGAGTTGCTTTAACAATACACAGCTATATTACAGTTAAAAATACATGGTGTCCAAAACATTTGGCATAAGAACAGCACAACACACGGAGGCCAGAAACAGAGGAGGGAACACGCTTCTCTCCCAGTAAGCCTGCTGAAAGCACTCCAGGTCACCCTGCAAGTCACCTTACCTTCACAGGGGCAGCTTTCCCACTCGGCCTGCGCCTCCTCTGCACTCCTGGGGTGCAGGAGAGTCGTGGCCAGGGCAGGAACAACCCCTGCCCCACGGGGGCTCAGCTGCYGCCACGGGACGGGATGGGCTTGCCAGGGAAGCTGAGGTTTAAGGCAGGAATCCTCCAATCGCCCCACACTTTCTTCCACCGTTTAATGCAACAGGCGAGTCAAAAAGGCAAGAGCGGGGCTAGCTGTGAAAGGTGCAGGGAGTATCTCACATCGTAACAGTTAATTTGCACTTTGGAAGTGGGAGACAAACTCCCTAACTAAGCTAGAGATGGCTAAAGGGCATCCGTGGCAAGAGCAGCGYGGCATCAACAACATCCTTCCACCTCTGGGACTCTCGGCCCACGCCCCGGGCAGGACAAGGACTCCTTTTGCAAGGGGCTGCACCTCATCTYACCCACGTTTTTTAAACTGTAGGGCAAAGTGATGCTAGTGCTCCGGGGAAGTACAACAATCCRCCAGTTCAAACACACAGCCCTGCAGCAACCGGCTCCTTCCCGCTCCAACTGCGGCTGCCGCTGGAGGTCTCCCCTTGGCATTCACATTTGCCTCAACCTAAAGACATAAAGTGCACAGCTCCCCGCTTCTCCTCTCACTAAACAGCCATTAGGAAAGCTGGCACAGAACAAATCTTCCCCCGCGCTGCTCACAGGGGAAGTGTTTCATCCAGGCTCTCCAGGGACCATGCTCCCTTTCATCTTCTCTTTGCTCTCATGGCCTACTCGAAGCACACGCTTACGGGGCATTATTTGGGCTCTGGATTTCAAATCCTCTCAAACCAGCTTGCACTTAAAACTAACTTCTAATGCCAGACAATATATTTTGGTCAAGCCTTGCACACCGGGGTATCTAATGGTTTACWTTAGATACCGCGTCTCTAAGAAAAACTGGGACACCAGAGTATGGGGGCATGCAATACCGAGCTGCCTCCTCTGCTTTCCTCAGGCCAAACATCCAAAGTGCCCGACAAAACAAACATCATCTTTTAATGCAGTCCTTTACTTCAGGTTAGTATACAATATTCCTCGAGATGCAGAGATTCATGAAAACTGCATGCAAACGGGATAGATTGGCACTTTCCAGCCACCAAAATGCCACCAGCTCAAGTCTTCACACACTTCAAACTCCCTTGTGTGGAGCTCAAGCCAATGATTACCAGCAATCACCGTTTCTYCTTTCCTTAAAGAGAGCAGAGGGTCAGCATACAGGATAAAATGAAGCCTAGAAGAGATATTTCCACATTATTTGTAACGGCTTTGGATCTGATCATAAGTCTAATGATGCAACTGCAGCTCTTCGGTGGGAATTGATTCAGGCTGTGTAATTGAAACAGGTTATGCAAGGGCTGGAGGGCTTGAACGATGACTCCTCTGCCCCAGGGTGAATGTCACCTATACAGGCATTTATAAGAAATAAAGGTCCAGTATTACAGGTGGAAGGTGATGGGTTCATCCTCCATGCTCCCAAGGCTTGTGCTCCATGGTTCAAAGCTAAACAGAATTTAAGGCCCATCTGTGAAAACTAAAATGCAAAAAAAAAAAAAAAAAACAAACAAACAAAAAAAAAACTCATTATGCCAGCCAAAGCGATTTGGGTTTTCCACCTTTCCAACAAGTCCCATCTTAAAAGTGCTGAGAAAATGTCCTACCTCATGGCTTCACATGTGCAAGGTTCAGACACATTTACTTTGAATTTATTATTACTTTTTTTTTTTTTAAGAAAAAAAGTTGGAAAGTCTTTTCAATTGGCATGCAGCATATGGAATCAAATACACAGACTAGTATTACACAGAATGACAATTGCATTGTTGCGTTTTCTGGTTATTAGACACTAAATGCTTTTCAAGAATCACAGGCACCCTGAACATGGATATTGCTACTGAATTGACGTGTGACTTCAGTTTACAGCGGGGCAGCCACAAGTGGCTCCCCTYCCAAAAAGACGTCGCCTTTCTTGGCTCAAGGCTTTTTGCTCTAGCTAAGTTGAGAACAAGTTAATAAGGCATTTGCAAGGGTTTACAAGGCCATGGGGTCTGACAGCCAAAGACTGTTTTTTTGGTGTCTTGCCTCCCAGCTTACCACCTCATAAACGACTGCTAATGGCTGGTAAACATCTTTTCATCATCACAATTCACTAAGTTTTTTTTTTCTTTCCAAAAAGTATAATTGCTTTAAGAGTGAGACCAACAACAATGACATTTTACACCAATCGACCATTTTCAGAAGGGGGGAAGAAAAACAAAAAGCAAGTTTCCTGGATAACCCTTCCACACAAAGTCACGCCAGTGAATACCCCTGAACAGATGGAACCTGCCACCCTATGTTTGTGAAAAGAAACATTTTGCTGCTGCCTGCTAAAGCAATGCAACAGATTCATTTATTCTTAGAAATCCCACAACAAAAAAGGAGTCCCCCTCCCTAAACAAATGGCAATTTTTACAATTTTGGTCTAGAAGTTACGATGAGGCAATACTCTCAGCTCAGAAACTCATTTTTTGCTTGGTGATATCCTCTGATGAGCACCTCATTTTCAAGAGGAACGTGAACCCAGAGAAGATCCCTCTCAACTATCTGTCCTGAATGAGAGAAGACTGATCGCATTGGCTCATGTGGGAATTATTCCATCCTTTCAATAAGGAAAGGACCAGAGTAACTAGGAGATTTTTAAACATTCATGAAATAATGACATAAGACATTCTCTCCTCATTCCTCAACCCCCTCCTCTGTCYGATGTTCTTAAAATCCAAACTGAACCGAATGAGGAAATGCTGAAACAACCACACTCCTCAAAAACTCACAAATGRGACATGTACCAAAACAGAATATTTCTGCATATGACACAAGACCTTAAAAGTGTTGAATTCTGTTGCACGTGTATTTGGAGTATTAGCAAACACTTCAAAGCTGATGCAACCAGCTYGCTTTAAATCATGACTTGATTGGTAAAGAGACCCTGGGAGAGCTTCATCAAGAGCTTCACTGGGTGAACCCTTCATGCCTTATATGATCCAGTACCAAGTTGGGAGTTTGACCTGCACGTTTAGTTCTTCAACAAAGCTGTATCCAGTTTTGGAWTATTAAAAGCTGCTATTGACAAAATTCTAGCCGGTATTTCCCACTATTCAGTTCATTGCTTAAGGCTTGTTGAGAATATACTCTCTAAGAGGAGTCTTGGCATCTTGTAACAGAAAGGAGACATCGTTTAGGACAGCAAGGAAACAGAGTGGTGTGTAAAAAGTAATAAAAAAGAAAAACCACAAGATCCCCTTGAATAGAATTTGAGGTCACTGGAGAACAGTCATTCACCACCAGCACTTTCATAAGCTCCTTTTGCCAAAATAACCTCTGTGTTATTTATAAGGGCACCTTGGCTTTAAATAACAAAACCAGAGTGATTTCCTCCCGCGGTGCCCAGGTGGCGAGCACCAGCACCCCACTCTGTTTCACAGATTCCTTATGAAAGCACGTGCAATGCTCCCAAGAGATGAGGGACTCGGTACTTTGTGTCCACTTGCAAAGACAGATGAAATGCAACATGCTCCAGTTAATTTACTGCTCTAGWTACGGTGCTACAGCCATTAACAGAAATATGGTTTATGCTTAATGGAGACTGCTGAGAACACTGATCTATGCAGCAGCTTTGAGATATCTGCTAAAGACCAACTTCAGTATAAAATCCACATCACTTGTGACTGATACGTGACCTGATGAAGAGATTAAAAGGCAGATGTCTTAACCTGCTGTTTCACCTACCAGTGCTGAGCCTTGAATGTAAGGAAAATGCACATAATTGAGTGAATTAAATAAGCACTTCTACCAACATGATCAAACYCAGCAAATAAAGCTACATTTGCCTTCATACCACATTCTGAGGAAACACAGAAGTTCTCAAATGCTTACAGACAATTAAGTAGCAGTTCTTAAATAAAAGAAATTAGAGAAATGGTTTCAATTAGTTATTTGGCTTCCATGTTGGGAAAAAAAATAAAATCAGATTGGACAAGTAACATTCACTGGAGTAGATTTGGTGTGCTGAAGCGTTTGTAGAAGCTTGGGACTTGAAGCACTGGCTCAAGGCAAGACAAATCATGTGCAGGTGGGGACCAAACCTCAGAGAAATTTCTGACCCATGCACCTTGATCATGACTTTTCGCTCTGCTGCTATTCCAGTCCTGTGCCAAGATAAACTGCATGGTGGTTTTGTGGTGCAGTCTGAATGCAGTGAATGAATTCCATTTGTGGTCTAAATTGCACTGAGATGCAGATTTCCAGAAACGGTTTAAAACACCAAGTTGACATACTCCACAGTCCTAGAGATTTGCTTTATTTCTCCATCAACCTCACTCCTTTATTCCAATGTGATTTTGAAATGAGGGGAAGAGAAGTCTTCAGAAACATGCTGGTCACATGTGTTCAAATATTCCTGATAAGAACGTCTATATTTTCTGTCATCCAGACTTACTGCATTTTAAAAAAAATTTACAATATACTTCAACAGTTTTTATATACCTAAAATGCACAATACCATCTGTTCCTTCAAGGTCTCTCTTATTCCAAGGTCTGTTAATCTTCATTCTAGTTGCTTGCTACCTTCTGATTTCTGATCCAGCCTGCTCTTGTTGTTCTTCACCATATAGATAAAATAAGCAAGTGTCTCTTTCTCATTCACAGGAATATTCCTGAAGTGACGGCTGACAGTCTAGAAGGACAACATGTAAAGAGAGAGAAATTCTGAAATTAGAAAGTAGATATAATCATAACTGGGGGTTCTCTGCATTTTCCAAAACTGATTTTATGGCCACTGAGCATAATAAACTTATAGGCAAACATGCACCAATTCAAACTGTCAGTCCTCATTTACCTCTCTTTCTCTTTACAGCTGGAACGTGCAGACGAAGAAAGCCCAGTCTTGCCATGTCAGCAGTATCTGCAGCCAACCTACAAGTGGAATTTGGAAGCCAGAATGCCCTCCTGCCAAAGCAGCACAGCCTCTCCTAAGTGGCACTTCATGTCGAGATTATCTGGAGAGCAAGTTTTACCTGCATCTCAGTATTTTACATGAGAATGTCAGAACACTTTTCTGCATGAGTGAGACACAGTGAAGATTTAGAATCAACAGCAAAGCTAATGAGRCTCTTTGTCCAAAGGAAAAGGCCTGCGTCAACTTTCACTGAAGCAAGGAAGGATGATCAGGATATTCGCAGTGGGAGGGTCAGGGTTCATCTAGGGCTACCCTTCCTTGACATGAAAACAAACCATGAGCCATCAGCTGCTTTTTCTTGGAAAATGGATGTCAGCAACATTTTGAAACAGGTGAGGAGATCTGCTTCTCATACAGAGGAGCACTGTTTTGGCACCCAACACAGCTCCAGAACTGGATTTTGATGCAGGCTGAGCAACGAGTCACTCCAAGAAGATTTAGGGAAGTTTGAATTTTCCTTACGGTGGGTTAGCAGCAGGTGTCTAAGAGCCTCAGGCAGCAGTGAGTCAAGCATGGGGGCTGGACGAGGATCCAGCGTAGGGTCAAAGCTGCTCAGACCTCACAGGAAATCTGGGAAGTGTGTGACAACTTTAAGTTAGGCTCCCCTTAAGGTTATTTTTGGCTTGCATAGCAGTTTCTTTTTTCTCCATTCTGGGAATATTATGATAAATTGCCTATGTACGTGGTACTTCACAGCAGGAGGTAACTGAGAGACTACAGACTGGTTAGTTAGAATATGACAAATCAGATCTCCTACTGAGGATATACATATATCCTACTTCTCCATGCACTACCCTATACATTCTGTACATTCATTTGCTAGTTGGATGATGGAAGAGCTCCAGAAGAGCAAGAGTGTTTTGCTGGCCTTTTTTTTTTTTTGGTTTATTTTTGGTTTATTTTTATTTTAAAGCAAAACTTTTGAATCTTTAGTCAAACAGTTGTGAAAGCCCAACTGGTACCATTTCTCCAAGCTTAGAGGAGACTTTTCTGAGCGAATGCCTCTCTGCTCAGACCAGCTCAGGAGGCAGAGTACATACACATGAAGTACAACTAACCCAAACAGCAGAACTGTGCTTTTAACAAATATCCCGTGTGGTGTGAAAGAACCAGGAGGGGCCTTAAGGAAAGAGCCTTTCATGGAGTTAAAGAACTGCAAAATGCCAGGTTAAYGGAGTGAAATATGGAATCTGAAGTCATGGTCATTGATTTTGCCTTTAATAACAAGCAATTTCAACAAGTTCAAGAGGCTGTGAGGAAAATAACTGTATGAAGTTTGAGTTTCAGCAAGACTAATATGCAGGCCACTAGAAAGTATGATCTGTTTTTGTTCCCTAAAGGTGACTATAATTGACTCTGACTATAAACAAGGGGGGAAAGGAAGCAAAGAAAAGCGAGTTACTAAGGCATGCTGTTAAGAGGCAGCTTCCAAGACTTCCATGGTTGCCTCAGGTGAAAGCGAGCATGCAGCTTCTCGTCAGCACCATCCCCTGAACCTGCCACAGAGTGTATTGCACAAACCAGCAAGAGTCACAGCGTCACTAGTGTTACTAACGTCCACGAAATGCACATTTGAGCAGAGAAGGAAAAATAGCTTTTTACTAACATAGATAATACAACTTCTGTCATCACTTACTTCTGCTAGTTGAGCCTTGTTGAGTCCAGGCCTAGTCTGCAGCTTATAATGCCTCTTGTAACGTCGCAGTGTATTCACTTGGAGCTGGAACAAGTCAACCTAGAAGTGATGCAGAGATGGGAAATGAGCACCACCTTTGATTTCTATTAAGTAGRAATGCAAAGTTATCTAAATATAATACTTTCTACCTCAAGAGAACTGCTCTTTGACTACATTCAGAACCATATCAGCTTGCCTTAGTGACAAGTCTAAGTATATTTACTTGTTAACATTAAAGGACCAAACTAGCCTTGGGGAAATACAAAATTTTGTTCTGGTTCACTTGCTGTCAACAGAATTGCTGGCCAATTTCTGCTCTCAATTAAACGTCTGCAACCTCTGAACAAAGGGAAGCCTTTTGCTCTCATCCCAGAAGGTTTTAAAAGCTCACATATGAGACATCACTTTAGCAGGCACTGAACAAACAGCTTGTGACATAAAGCAGAGTACAAGGACGGAGAAGAAATAAATTCAAAGATTTCAATAGGAAGTAGAGAATTTAAAAGCAGGGGGAGGTTACAGGAAGGAAGATGAAGATCACGTGGGAAAGGCCATGCTTCAAAGACAAAAGGAAGCTCTGTTGAAAACCAAGAAGAAAGGGCATTACGTCTGATACACTGCAGAACCCCTTGTTGAGTTATGTGATGTGTCATTTTTCAGTCACCGAACAATCTGCATGTTTGACACAGTTAAAGTTTGTAAATGCTCATTAGCTCTTCACTAAATCATTCTGTTAACTAAGGGGAAGCCTACACTGAAAAGTTCTGGCACTGAACAAGAGCACAAACAACTAAAACAGAGACTCCAAAAAGAAAACAACCCCCAAACATGATACCCCCCACCCTACACATACTTTCCCATCCAGAACCCCCGGCATGGACATTTGTTTTGCTGGCAAAACAAACAATTCCAGCTTTCCCAGATCAAAAACGCCTTGTGCCAGCCCCTGCAGCAGCCCCAGCAGGGAGCTCTGCTGTGAGCATCTCCTCTGCACAACTTTTTGCAGTGTCACTAGTACCAGAAACATCACCAAAGCAAATACTGCAAGCAGCGGCAGAGAAAACAGATTATTCTAGTGATTTTGTAGCACATAAATAAAAAGACTTCAGGAATATCATCTGTGATTTGAAGGTAGGCTTAAATGGAATCAAAAGATTGTATGCCATTTATCGTAAAAAGGCTTGGGGATGCTCAGCAGCTCTGGACTCTATCAACCCAAACACACAGCAACAGAGTGACTAGACTCTAGCAGCTTTGCAAGATGATATATGCTGGGTAACAAACAACCGTAACAACAAACAACCAGTCATTGCTAAAAATATTGCATTTTTACCTTTAAAAGAGGATTAGGGCTCAACACTATTTTAACACCTCGGTGTTTGGAATCTCTGCATACRTGGAACTGTACAGTTGCACTATCATTCCTGTATTTACAGGAATCTTTGTATGTGCAAAGAGCTCATCCAATGAGAAATTAGTTTAAAACCAAGAAAGTTTCAATAAARCTACATCTTAAAATTTATACATTGTCAGATTCATTAAAGTTTCCAAGCTGCAACATGCTCAAAACCTGCAAAGCATCTGACACTCACTTCTGACCCTACTAACCTCTGGGACATCCGTTTCATGCTCAGGAGAGTCACCTCCATCATCACTTGTCTTCCTCTTTCTTTTGTTTCGGACACTCTGAATGAAATTCTTGTGGAAATCACAAATATACAGATGTCTCACCTAAGAAACAAAAGTGTTAAAAAAAAACAATCAACGCAGGTACTGTAAAATGAGCATCCAACAGCAGCCACTTAAGACACCACGATTTTAGAGGCACACTTCCTATCTCACCACTGACAATAAGGAAATTCTAATCTTAAACCCTGGGCCTGTCATCGTACACTTGAATTAATGATAATTTACATTACAAACACTAAAGACAAGGGAATTGAAGGACCCAAGAACTCCAGCTGAACCTGAATCTCTGCTCATAATTCCTTTTTTATGGCTGCAGTTACATGTCAAGGGTGAGGGAGGCAGGGAACGACCGGCTGCAGGAAGGGTAGTTGCTTCAGCCGTTACTGCCAGTGGTTAAGAAAAATATTATTCTGTTCTGTATTTCTCAGCTTTCTTGTTTGAGTGATACATGAGATTAATAATTTGAGTCGTTTCAAAGTCAAGTCAGAATAAAACCTCAGTTAAAACAAGCAAACTAGAAAAGTCTTTTCTCCTGCAGCTCACCCTATTATGGAAATCCATTTTTAACAGATACTATCTCACAAGGATCGGTAAATACATAAAAAATGGACCACAAACGTCACTATTAACTGAGAGCAGCAAGGCACAAATATCTCAGACAGCCGATGCAGCCTAGATTTGAAATCGCTTTATASAGCCAGCTTCACATTCCCCCTTCGTTGTCGGTTTCGTTAGAAATAAAGAGAAGAAAGCAGGCTAAATCCTTTCAAGTTTAGCCTCTCTCTTCACAAGRTATTTGCGTTCTGGCAGCATAAAAGGAACCCAACCAAGTGGAGGAACTGTGAAACAGCCCGACTTGAAATTTCACCTTTTYGCGTGAATTTTTGTGTGCGAATTGCGTGAGTTTTCCAAGCCCGGGTGCGAAGAGCACGCGGAGGGCAGACCTCTGTTAACGGGGCTGCTCTAAGGGGCTCCTCCTGCAAACCCGCCGGGCTGCCCCGCTCCCCGCAGCGGGCCGGGGGCTCCCGCGCCGAGCCCCCCGGTGCCACTACGGGCTCCGCGGCACCGGGGGCCGCTCCACGCGGCGAGTTGCGTGGGTCCGCTGCGGCAGAGCGCTTCCGCCCGCTTTTTCTGCTAATAACCCCCCTCCCCAAGACACGAAGCCTTCCTAGCTAAACAAGGGGCGGCAAAGCGGGTGAAACCCGCATCGCCTCTTCCCCCCCCGGCAGCAACGGCGCTTCGCGGGGCAAGGGCGGCGCGGGGGCCACTCACGCTCTTGTCGATGTCCAGCTTGAGCTTCTTCTGCGAGATGCTCTTCTGGATGCGCTTGCTGAAGGACGCGTTGCCGGCGGGGCGCGCGCAGCGCTCGCCGTCGTCGATGAGGCAGCAGCTCTGGCCGTAGAAGGGGGCGGCGGGAGGCCCATCCCGGCTGTCCTCCTCGGTGCTGAAGCCATTCATCGCCCGCCGCGCCGCGCCGCAGAGCCGCCCCCGCTAGGGGGGACCCCGCTCAGCGCCCCGCGCGACGGCGGGGACCCGGAGGAGGCCGCTCCGCTCCGCTCCGCTCCGCGCGGGCCGCGCCGGGCCGGGCGCCGCTCCGCGGCAGGCGCGACCGCGCACGCACACACACACACACAAAAAACCGCCGCCCCGGCAGCGGAAGTCCCGCCCCCGCCGGCGCGCGGAGAGGGCGCGGGTTGGGCCGCGTGGCTGGCGGGGCGGGGCGCTCCGCCGCCGCACAGCGCGCCTATTGGAGGAGAGAGCCGCCCGTCCGCCGCGGCTCCGCCTCTGCGCGCGCGGCAGCCGGAAGGTCGGCGGGAGACGGGCGCGAGCGCGGCCGAGGTGGGGGGGGGGAGCGAGCCGCAGAGCGGCGCGCGCCGTTGCCAGGCAACGCTCCCCCCCMAAAATGACCGTTAGTGACCGTTGGTGCCGCCCGCCCCCCCGGGGACGCAGCTTCGTTACCCGGCGCTTCTCCGGGGCACAGTCAGCCCCGCTGTAGCGCCCCCGGCAGCAAAGCGGCATCCCCSCGGTACCAAACAGCCCGGAGAAGCGTTTCCCACATGAGCCCGGCTTGGACCATGCGTTCGTTTTCAGCGAGAAATGAAATCCCCGCTGCGGTGCGGAGGATGCTGTTGGCGCCTCTGTATCACCTTGGCAGCATCACCCGTGTCATCGGGGTGCGGGAAGCCGGGAAGGGCTACGTCTCCCCTCAGGAAACATTTATAAATAAAATTTAAAAAATCCATAGACTAAACTAGCTTTGAAGTCCCCAAGCACGCTCGTGGACCGGTGCGTTAGCGCCGGCTGAACTCTGCTGAACTCGCACAAAACAGCACTGAAGGAAAGAGGCGCTTCCAAAGCCTCAGCCAGCCCAGCCGCCTCGGCAAAGGAGACGAGTTCACCCTCAGGTCTTTACCCGAACTGCTTGCCCCAAGCATTACCCCTCTGGCAGAAAAAAATAAAGACAGAGAAATCCCTTTTAGGGGAAAAAACACCAGTGCTGCTGCTGACAGCACTTGTGTGGAGGTCTCAGAGCGCGCCCATAGGGCTCTGCTATATTTTTCTGCATAATATCACCCATAAAAATCAAGCGGCAGGCTGAAGCAGGCTTAGAATGTCCAGCAGGACTAGCTTGACATTTTGGAAGCTAAAAGCACAGGCTGTGGGGACAGGTGATAACAGCAACAAGCAAATAGATAAGAGGGAACAAGCACAAAAGTCAGAGTTCCTCCTGCCCCTGCTAGAGGGCAAATTCCCTATGTGCTGCATGGATGCTGTGCGGGACAGACGGAGCAGCTGGGAAGCTGACAGCAAGGCTGATACTTCACAATGTAGTTTATTTTTGGCCATAACCTTTTGGCCTGTGCAAATAAATATATATTTTTCCCCAGTTGTTTTGCAATGCCTACTAAGGGGAAAAAAAAAAAAAAAAAACCAATGCTCATTATTGTCAAATTGCTAATTAAATGTTAGGCTGAGCTATCAAGATGTTTAACACAGCAACACAGTGTTTTAGTCCGGGGGAAAAAAAAAAAAGCATGCAGACATCTTCATATAATTGCAGTTCATTTCAGCACAAGAGCCTCAAGAGCTGACAGTCTGCTAGGCTGGAACTAGCTCGCTGTAAAATAAACTGCTTCATAGAGACATTTTTTATTAGATATCTATCACTAACGCGATCTAATAATTCTTTGTGCGCAGAGCAGTGAAGTGAGAAACAATGTTTCATAAACCCATCAGCACGGAGGCAGCTTTAGTGCCTTTGAGGCCATAATAGCTTCCCCGTCCAAGCCAGCCCTCTAATCAAATTAAGGCAACTTGCGCAGACCTGTAAATCTTAGCTGGAGCAGCACTATCCTCTAAAACAAGTCTGCTGTGTAGATGTCATCTGCTACCTACCGTTTTATTGGAGTCATTTAGAGTTCTTGGGATAGAAATGCTCTCTCTGAAAGAGCRGAATGTGTTCCTGTGCTCAGAAGAAGTCTTTTTATGTCTGCACAGGTATCATTAGAGYATTTCCATTTTCTGCACCTCAAGGCCCAGGGAAACATTGCCGTGATATCCTTTCCCGACTCCGATTATCCCTCTGCATTTTTACAGGGTGGTCCATGTTGAACCCACAGTGACACTGCTAAAACACTGACATTGTGCATCCTTAAAACATGCGTCATTCCCACATGCAGCTTTTCACACACGCCATTGTCTGCACTCCCCTCAGTTTATTTCATTATTTTGTGGTCTGATTGCACGGAGTTAAACAACAGGACGGACTAGCAATTCCCCACAGCAGTTGTGTGATGCTGAACCTTCCCAAACCGTGACCAGAGGCAGCTCAGACAGGACGCATACAGCTCAGATGGCCTTAGCCTTGTATCYTCACGACTGCATGTCCGCAGCAAACACAGCTGGCTTTAGGAAAAGCCTTTGGCAGCGTCTCAAACCAGTGGCTGATGACAGACCTGKGCAAAGGGCTGTCCCAGGCTTGGGCTCTGCTGCCCACGTCCCCATGCAGAGCAGCTCCCCTGCAAGACTCATGGTCCAGCAGCAAGTGACACCACAGGAGACCCAGCCTGGGAAACAGCAGGCAAGGGTAACTAGGCTGGTTCTTTGAGCAGCAGAGAAAGGGAAGTCAATCACTTATGTAGAAAGAGGCAGGGAGAAGCATACACGGCTTCAGAAAACACATTAAAAATTTATTTTAAATATATTATAAAAGGAAGTCCATTCAACTTTAAAAACACTAGGCATTCTATCAATGATTCCCGATTTATGAAAGCTACTACATTAAAGTGCTAGAGTCCTTTACCACCCAGATATTAGGCTGTTGGTCCTAATATGCACAGAAATAAATATACACTGGTTCAAGAGACAAAACCCAGTTTTACAGATAAAATGCATGCAGTACAAGGATAGACAAACTTAGACCTTATCACCAAGAACCTGGAAAATGCATTTTAAAATGAATTCCATTCATCACCCTAGAGGCTACAGCTATTTGTTACTGTTACATAAGGACTAAGGTTTTAGCCCATTAGCCTGATCAGTTTTTACCTTTTTTTCCTTGTCCAAGTTCACATTTGCTTGCTTGGTAATTGGGCTTAGAACTYTCTCTCCTAGAGTTGAACAACTAGCTTGGAGACCACAAGGATCCAGAGGCTTTGAAGAAAACCTCCAAATCCCTCACATTTGCTGGAACCATTGAAGCCTTCTGGGTAATACAGAAGCATCAAGAAAGCTCAGAATAAAGCAAATAAAAGGAGCATACTTGGCTAGCAGAAGCAAAAAACAGACATAGGATTTTTATTAGGATTTCTATAATCCGCCACTCTAGTTCTATGCACAGATCTCCAAGTTAAAGCATGATTCTAAGAATGAACAATCAGAGCAGGAGGTCAGTTTATTTCAGTTATACTTGAAACTATAATGTGGGTAAGGCAATCTGGCTGGTTAAGGAGGAATATGAAATGAATCGACGTGTCGGTGATGAATGCTGATGGACACTTCAGACCCCAGCTTTCCCATTCCCATTCTCTCATTGAACCTCTCCCCTCCTTTCTAACCAGGTGAAGAACTGCAGCTTGTGTTGAGATATGGTCACAACACTCATTAGGGCAGCAAAAACAACACTCCAAGGTAAATACCACACAGGTTGGAAAATYGCAGCAGATTTGCCTTGCTTAGGATTCAACCAACAGAGCACTGGGGAACTGGGAGCAGATCCCAATACAGAGGTCTCCAACCCAGCTCCCCTTTTACTATATCCTGTGAAASGCCTTTTAAGCCTGACCCTGCAGACACTGAGATTAACCCCAAGCTATTCACTATTTTGACAGCTTGCTACCTATTTAACCAGGTTCTCGTGCTAAATAACTGTTAGAATGGGAGTCGCACCTGGACTTCTGTTTGTCAGGCAATGACTGGTTTAGCACCACAAGGCTCCTTGGTTGTAGATGCTTAGAAATGCAGACGGAGAATGAAATGCAGCACCTGGAGTGGAGGCAGATGCAACTCAAATCCCACGTGCTACTAAAGCCAGCCTATATTAGGCTCAACTTCTGGTTAAGGACTCTTTCAGCTGAAAACATTACAGGCTGAATGCTTGAGGTTGCCTATTCTGTCCAGTCAAAACTGTTTAAAAGTCTGTCTATATCTTCACAAATGTTTCAAAATGAAAGATTATCTCTTTTTATGCAGCAGTGACGTGATTGTCGTTATCAGTTTTACAGGACAGGACAAAGCCCTAAGTGACATAAGCCAGGGTAACTACTATGGTGCTTCTAGAGTGGCTACAAGAGCACTGTGTTCTTGCCGTGCTGCACACAGATGCTGCCTATCTGACCTTCAGCACGTTGATATTTCAATACAACAGCCTCCTGCGAGGCAAGGAGGAAAGCTGGCTGAGTGGAACTTTCCAGTAAAGTGACCAGTCTGAAGCACAGAAACTGCTTTATTGCTACTTCTGCATCAGAGACTAAATCACACCTTTTAAATGCTTCCCTATTGTATAAGGCATTGACCATCTAAGAAACTCTTCTACCTCAGATTTAATATGCCCATAGGACTATTTCTGATTTGGATATTTAAATATAAAATGCAGAATCTTGCATGTAAATGAAATACATGAGCCTTTGCCATGAGGTRAAACATCCAAAAATCAAGACATCTTCGGGTCTAGCTTTAGTGATTGTACTGCACCAAGCCAAGATGAAGCTACCATAATTTCCAAGTCTTCCTCTTAAGAGTGACAGAAAACAAAACAAACAACAGAAAAACAGTCATTACTGGTATCAATTTAGTAGGGAAACACAGGAGCTTCCAAATTACTGTCTTTTGCAAAACTATGCACTGAAGGTTGAACATTTAAAAAATTACATAAACACACAAACACCACACAAATCAAGCTCTCATACACCCCCTTACCACCCTAGCCCCCTCCCCTCTTGTCCAGCAAGGCACTAGGAAATGGTTCAAGTTTAGGCATTTGCTGTACATTTACATGTAAAAAGGCACGTCTTYATTTTAATGATGCTGTATTCCTCTTTCATTAAGGCTCACATGTTCTCCTGCTGCAGCATAGAAAAGAAAACTAATTCCCAGGCGTGAAAGACACCTTGTACGTATAAGAACACAAAACCTCTTACTCTGTTTCTTGGCCATAGAGATTAGCACCTATATAAATCAACAAGAGTTTCAAAAGCAAATCATTATGTGAAATAACACATATCTAGGGGTCCCCCTGTTGTCTGGGATTCTGATGTTTTTAAGTAGGATTTATGCCGCTGTAGATAGAGGAGTTGTTTGAATATTTGGGGGGGAAAAATGAAAATTATTTATTTTGCACTAAATAATCACTGGTATTTAATCTTCACTCTGGACGTGCATGCAGATGTGAAGATTTGCTTATATATTCATGCTTTAGCAATTTTGCTTACAAATAACCCGAAGTAATTGAAATAATTAAGCAGATTGCCCAGCAAAGGCTCAGCTAAAGAGGCAGATGATGAAATACAGCTTCTATTTCTCAATCAGCGAATGGTTGGCTAAATTAAGTCTTTTCATTAGTCAGCAAAACCTCTAGGGTATTGAAAAGTATAATTGATGTAAATAAATTAATAGCTCAAAGCCCAGCAAGCCAGTCAAAATGGCACAGAAATGGTGCAGCACTTATCACACATACAGACCCCAAAGTTGGAGAAAATAGATCTGACTGACCATACTAAAAAGAGTACAGTGGTACAATCCCATCAAAGCTCCCTGATACCTGTACTGGCAATCAGTTGTCAAACAGGAATTACCTCGATATTGCCTAATCTGCTGGAGCCTGCTGCTAAGAGCTGTCCTTTCCCACCAAATTAATATTACTAAGAGGTGCAAGACCTGCTCGTTACTGCAGTTCTCTGAAGGAAGCATCCAGCAAGCCAAGCAGCTCGGAATCCAAAGGTGAGCCCAAGGACAAAGCAAACCATGCATTTTAGAGATAGAAGTTAATCCTCTCATTAGAAGACAGAGACACCCAAAGCTGCAAGCTGCAAGCAGAATGACCCACAGCCTACTGATACATCATTTCCTGGGTCCCAATAAACTGGCACTGCTCATGGACAAACAGCTTCTTATTCCACAGATGTTAAGACACACCTAAAGACAACCAGGCAGACCATTTAGCAATCCACAGTCAGCACTACTAGCCTAATAAGAGAATTAAAACTTAAGGAAAGCAACAGTCAGACCCAAAGCAAGGAAAAAGGGTGTTCTCTGCTGTAGGAATGAAAAGGGCCGCTAATAACAAACATACTGCAGTTATGGAGAACGTAAGACGACCAATCCATTTGACACTGGTCCCCCCTTTGCAGAAATGCTGTTTCAAAACTGTTCTTCACTCCCAACATGTGAGACCTCAATATACTTGACAACCCCAGTCCCAGCTGCCTGTGGTTCCCTTGCTCTGTGACTGCTCACGCTAGGGGAGTTGGCAGCGCAGGGATAGGCTCAGCTCACAGAAGAGGCAGGAAGCAGAAGTGGTTTTAAATGAAACTTAGCAGCTCAAGAGGCAGCTAGTTCTGTCCTGTCTGCTTTCAGGTTCCAAACACAGGACTGCTCAGCCTCAAAATTGTTCTCTGAAACATGGACAATAATCCTGCTATTAGCAATATATTAAAAAAAAAAAAGGTTTATTTCTGAAGCTCTGCATAGTGGGCAGAAAGTCTGCCTTTTCCTTGACCCTAGGCAAAAACCTTGACTTCACAGGAGAGAAGACTATTCCAAAGCAGAACTTTCATGCCCCTCCAAAGAAAGAAAGTCCATCAATCGTGTTGTATCAGGGTCCCAGAGAACTGCCTCACTCTTCCCAAGATTTCAGACGGTCATTCCCACTGCCTGCTGCCTCCTTCTGTGGCATTCCCCCATGGGCACTTGGACAAAGTGCAGCCAGGCAATCGTTGGCAAAGCACTAGCATGAGCGATTTGTGCAGCCTCTTTGCAAAAAGCTAACTGCATGCTGATTCACAGTATTTACCAGAAAATGTCACCCCTGGTTTCGCTACAAGACTTAAGTGTGATGAACTACTGAATATGTTTTTTTAGTAATTCATTTAATTTTTTTTTTTAATATGCACTCACTACAGTAAATAGGAGAACATTGCTTTCAAGTTTTAAGAGATGAATCTCTTAATATCAGTTTTTCCAGAAGGGTAAATACCTTGCAGTGCCGACAAAGGGCAGGGCACTAACATGATTAAGGGACTGCAGCATCTCTCATACGAGGAACGGCCAAGAGAGTTGGGCTTGTTCAGCCTGAGAAGAAAAGATTAAGGAAGGATCTTATCAATACATGTAAGTATCTGAAGGGAGGAATGGGCCAGCATCCTTTCAGTGGTGCCCAACAACAGCATGAGAGGCAACAGGCACAAACTGAAGCACAGGAAGTTCAGGAACAGGAGGAAGGAGGAACATACGAACAGGAGGAAGAACTTCTTTTCTGCAAGGGTAATGGCACTGGAAGAGGTTGCCCAGCAAGACTGGGGAGTTTTCTATCTTCCTCAGAGATACTGAAAGCTGTTTGGACACGATCCTGGGCAGGGCGCTCGACAGATAACCCTGTCGAGCAGGGGGCTTGGACTACATGATCTCCAGGGGCCCCTTCCAACCTTAACCATTCTGCAGTATGACCATTCTACGTCCATGTTAACGCTGAATGACAGGCAAATCTGGAACCTCACACCCTAAAGCTTTTAGTCAATCCCTAAGAGCTGCACTCACTTAGAAGCCCGCTGCAAATTTTTCACCTTGCGGATTCAGTGAGCAAACTGACTGCAAAGTGAATGGACCAGAAACACATCCTCTTCACTGCTCGTAACCACAGCAATATCTCCAGCACTGGGCTGCACCTCCCTTAGGGAACACTCCTTTATCATTTGGAATCTAATAGCACTAGGCCTGTTTAAAATATATTTTGGTTTAGGGCAGAAAAAATATGTCATTTTACATTCTGATGTCTTTTGTGTGGGGAGAAGGGGAAATCCATGACATGGAAGGTGGGAGGACTGGAATCTTGTGTCAGGATTTTACTTACACGGACTTTGGAAGGTAAAGTGCCTCTGTGTGAATGCTTTAGCAGCTGGTAAAGCAACTACAGAAAGTACTGCACTTCAAGGGCCATGGAGAGCAGAATCATTTACACCAGACCCAAAAGGAAAGTTTAAAAAAAAACGCTTTGAATCACCTTCAGGCTCCTCTAAACAGAGTTTCTGTTCCAGTCTCAACACAGAAGTGGCTCTGGAAAAGCCTTTTGAATTCCACCATCCCCAGAAGAGAAGGATACAGCATCTTCACAATAAAGACTGGCCTGCTAGTTAACACCTTCTCCTGAGATTCTCCCTTTTACCTTCATTAGCTATTTAAAAAAAAAGTATTCTTAAAAAATTTTTGTAACCCTCCCCAGTAAAAACTATAATTGTTTCAGTCTTTTAAAGATCAAGATTTCTGTTAAATTTTTCCAATACGGTTGAGTTTGTGTGTTCAAATATCCACTGCTGTGTTGGAGATGAAGGATTGCAGCTATTCATAAAGATCTTTCGGTCACTCTCACTGCAGTCCATACAGCTGCCGCTTACTGGATGGTAGAGGGTCTTGTCCTGGAGAAAAGAAGGTTGACATGAGGTTGCCAAAAGGAGAAGCACAATTAAAACAAACAGAAGTCTAAAACCCAAGACAAGTCATTTTACCATTTGCCATGTAACTGAAGAACTTGTTCCACACTTTAGAGGTTGCAAAAAATGTGCTACATTCTCCCGCCAGCCCTCAGCCCCATGCAACAACATCCAGTCCAGCCCTCACATTTGCCCTGGGAAGCTCGAGGGCTGCCTCTAAGCTCAGGTGCCCCAGCTGAGAGGCCGCATTCTGCCGAGGCTCTCCCTGCCACTGTGTGTACAGACTGCAATGGGCAGAGCATTTATCAAAAACTTACCACTTAACCACACAATCATTGCTTAGACGCACCAATAAATCCTTTGGCATAATCTTCTGGTGTCTATAACAAAGCAGTAAACCCATCACACCTCTTGGCAAACAGGTTTTTGGGAGGGCGTTGCACAGAGGTGTCACTGCCAGCTGTGGACTGGATTGCAAGGAGAGCATCCGTTTGCTGGGCAAGCCCCGCATGGATCAGCATTTCTAATCAGAGGGACAGGGGAGCTGCCACTTTATAATAATTGCTGACACATTGATAACAACCTGCCCACAGATACCCTCAGTGAAGTCACATGGACAGAAGATTGAAACACAAGTAGTGCCATTTTAAGGAAACCCAGCTACTTACAGACAATCTGACACTTTAATGCTCATACAGAAACRCACACTCACTTTTCTGTATCTCCAGAGCTGGTTCCCCTTCATTCCATGACAGTCATAGAGGGTCACAGGGCTGCTGTGGGAAATGGCATCAAAACAAAACTTCTTGGTGTGCTGAGGATCCCCAGGACGGATGTCTTCTCTCCAGCTGAAGGTGAATATCTGCYGGGACAAAGGGCTCTCAGGACAGCAGGGAATGCTGCTCCCATTAACAGAGCGACATTCCCTCCTCTGCCCACAGGGTGGGGATYGCTTCAGGGAAAGGACAAAACTTCCAGGGAAAACTGATTCCACCCCTCRGGACAGGGACCATGGGGTCTGTACTGATACCTTCAGCCTGCTAAAGGAGCTGTGCTGCTGCAGACAGCCACGCTATCAGACTGGGTACTAAAAGCAGCCTTGAGTGTCTCTGCAACGCAGACACACCTTGTGGACTGAGAGATCAGTTACAGCACTTTCCACCTAGCAAAAAGGGGCGAGAGCTGCAAGAGCTCTAAGTGACGCTGGCAGTAACTACCCTACTCTGCACACACGGCCTGCAGTCACCTTGAAAAGAGCCCGTCCCCACGCGCTCTCAGACAAGGATCCATGGGAGGACCTGAAGAGCAGATGCCAGGGAAATGCTTCCTGGCACGCTCTGCCACTGATTGCAATGATCTCTTGGGCTTTCCCAATCTCCTTCTTGGAGTGAAAGGAAAGCAGGGGGAGTTACAGAAAAGAAAATAAAGGGTGTTAGCTCGAGGAACTAGGTTCTCCCTATCATCACCTCACAGTCTTGGCTTTGGTGTAAGCTGCAAGATGCCAGCAGATAAGGCTGGGAAATGTGATTAAGAACTTTTACAAGAAGCATCTTTGAACCTCTCTTGCAAGAAAAATTATCACAATCACTTAGGCCCAGGCTAAGCAAAAATCCAGAATACATTCTCCTCCTAAACACAAGCCAACACTAATTGTTCATGGACCTCTTGACACAAGGACTGTGCCCGAGTAAATTGGTTTCGTTTCTAGTTTTCAAGCATCAAAACTGATATGCAACATCCCTTTATCTCCTATGACTGAAGCCATTCCCTGAAGAGTTATGTACAGTTTTGCAAGAGAGGCATTGTTTTCTTCATCTTTTCTCAGCTCAGCAGCTGCAGTTTAGACAAACTAATAATTCCCTCCTTTCTTTTATAATAAAGCTGTCATTTCCGTCACCCTATACGTCAAGAGGGTGAATCTATAGCCTGACAGTTTTCATCTCTCTCCAGGAACAGTTGGGTGTTTATAATGCATTTGCCTCCTGTCAGAAGAATGACAGTAAGTGGTTATTGAAGGCACCTGCAGGTTCATTAATATGCATGATGCTCCTCTATCACTTCTTCCAGCACAACCTTTGAAGTTAATATTCACTTTGTTACCTATTACTGCTGCCTTGCTACTGGTTTCCCTTATTATTTTGGCATATTGTTTTCTTGTGCTTTCTTTTGTTCATTCGAAGGACTTCAAAGTGTAGGGAAAAGCTCTGCACAGTCTGCTATGCTCCAGACCTGCCACAAGCACGAGCCACATCCTGCTGCAGAGCTAATCAGGTACAGCTAGTGCACAACTCTTGGGGTGTCCAGCACCCTCCTGTGCATCTGGCCAAGATCTGTACCTTGTTCCYTTGAGAAATGAGGCTCTTGCAGCATTATCTTCATCGTACGATGGATTTTAAAAGACAGACACTGGGTTCTCCATCCCAGAGCTTGTTTAGGASTAGATGGGTTATCAGAGGCACTATTACCTGCACATTGTTCCATGCTGCCTCTCCTCTGTCCTTCACACAGCTTTCCAACCTCAGGGGCGATCCCAGGGCTCCATGCTTAGTGTCCACACACAGGCCAGTCCCTACATTGCGTATCTGAAAGAGAGAAGTAGTCATTAAGTCTCCTAACTCTTATCAAGTCACAGACAAAAAGAAAAGCTTAAATTGCTTCAAACAGTAGCTGTATTTGTATGAAGAGAGGTTTAACTTAACAATACAAGTGAGCTGGCAGATGATACCTGAAAGGAAAGCACAGTCACTTCAAGCCATACAATAACGTGCCGGACACAGCAAACCAGCAGCAAGAGGACCAYGGATCCCATTGTTTCGCTGTGATTAACAGCCCAAGCTTTGTGATTCCTCTCCATAAATACAGCTGCCTTTCAAAACCAGGTACAGCATTTCTGCTTACAGAAGGGAAAGCTGCAGAGCAGGAGCAGAGCAGCTCAAAACAATTGTGCAGCTCTTTGAAGATATACAGCTTCTATTATTGCTCAGCTGCCTCCTAATCTTAATCCTTCCCATTAGAGTCTTTTGTCTTCTACTAAATATACGAAGTGCAGAACAAGCCAAGTTTCTCCTTGGAGCTGTGCACTAACAGGAACTGCTGCATAAGCAGCTGCAATTGCTGCTGTCCTCTGAGCACGGCCAACCCAACGCGATGGGAACCCTTGTCTTCAAAACACATCAAGCAKGATCTTTACAACCCACTTGCCACCATGCCCACAGCACACAGGGGCACAGGAGTAACGTTAGTTTAACAAAACTGCAGCTTATTTGCCCGCTGCAGATTTCAGAGCAAGAAACTTGCTGAACTTGCCTCTCCCCAGGCAGCCGCCGGAGGCTCCACTGGCGGGTAGAACTTGGGCAAGTCCCACGCGACCTCGTTCATGAACCATTTGAAGCTCTTGCAGTTGAGGTTGTTGCGAAGTTCCTTCTGAGCTGCCACGTCGCCTGCAGAGAGATGCCGGTACTCGGGTCTGCGCTGGTAGATGTACTCCGCGTACTCGTCCATCCACACCTCGGCCACGCGCTTCAAGTTCTGTGCGGGCAACGGCCACAGGTGCGAAAACCAAAGGGGAGGGAGAGAAATTGCATGAGAGTGACACAAACTGCGGAAATCAGTATTCTGAACAGCACTCGTGTTTCTGCTCGGAAGGGATTTTCTTTCACTTCTACTCTTCTCCTTCCAGCTTAAGAACTAAGATTATTTGTATTATTCTCTAGGTCCAAGGGACTTTAAAAGATATTTTCAGAAGAAATCAGAACAAATTCTAACACTTCGTCATTATATGTAGCTCCTTATGGCTAAGAAAACATTAGTCAAGGTTTTTTGGGTTTTTTTTTCTTTTCCTCCCTATTTTTTTGGTGGGGGGAGGAGGTAGGGCGGTGATGTGGATGATTATTATTATTTTTTCTCCTTCCTCTTTCAAAAAGCAGCAGAGATTCATGCTCGTAAATACCACGAGACATTCAAAGGTCCTAACAAAAACAAAGAATCACCAACTTTCCTTACATCTTTCCTATGGTATTCCCTCTAGGAATGGGACTTGCAGTCCCCCATTCTACACAGCACAAACTCTAATATCCTCCCACCGGTTATGTAAAAAAAAAAAAAAAAAAAAACAGTTTAAGAACTCAGAGACACTGCAGGAATTTACCTCTTAGACAATAACCCTTCAAGACAGAAGCAAAAGATTTACTTCCTGCTAATAGTATATTTCATATTTCTTTAGATCAATATAAACCCTTAAAATCATACTTTTCATATGAATGCTATCTCAAGCTTTGTACTGGCTCTGCAGTGAAACTTCTCTCTCTTCTGTTGGGAGAAAGCGGCCAAACTGCACACAACAAATCCAAGGATTGCCACAATCCTTCCGTTTTAATCTACCTTGTAATTCGAGGTCAGCAATGAACACCACACTCTATATACGCCCTGCTGCTCAACACAACACGTTCAGGAGACCTTCAGACTTTGGACGTTTCCCTGGCCATGTCAGGTGCATTTCTGCCACAACACCCCAGCGTGAAAAGTGCTCACGGCTTCAGTGTCCCAGCTCTGCTGTCCCCCTCTCAAAGGCCATTTACTCCCAAAAAAACTAGGACATTAAGCACAAGGAGCATCCTGATTGCCCCAAGCAGAGCCCAAACAGGAACAGTGTCCCTTTCTGCAATTTTTTTCTGTGCCTATGGTTTTTTCTCCCAGCAGAGGGCAATGTCAACCCTTCTCAATTTGGAAATGACCTGGAGAAAGCCACTGCAGCATCAGCAGGGGCTGCTGCTTCTTCGGGCTACGCTAAATTAAGAAATAAGATGGCACAGAATCCATCTGTGTTTCCATCACGGAGAATTACAGCACGCTCATCCAGWGGGCTGTGACACTCGAAGCCGAGAGGTCTTTCAATCACCAAGCGGCGCTCGCTGCGCTGCACCCGCTGCCYGGGCACAGCTATAAAACGTCAGCTATCGCGCACACACACACACACAGAGCCCTATCTCGCTTTTATGGGAGATTGCACGGCCAACGCCTGACTGCAAAGGCGCAGCCTGACGCTTTGCACCGCTGCCCTGTGTGTGCAGAGGAGGCTGCAGCTCTCTGCAGTCACCGCCCTTAGCGCCTGTCACCCGCCCTGCTAAAGCTGCACAAGTAAAGGGCCTAAATTTGCCCCCATTGTGGGGCGACAGGGAATAACTGCCTCCGAGTAGGCATGGGCGGAGGGGGGACGTCACTGCCACTTACTCTTGCCAGGCTGACTCCTGTTGGGACTTTGTACGGAACGTATTTTCTGTAGATATGGCCCACTCTAGAGCAAGGGATGTCCTCCATGCGACCCCCACACATCCAAACCTGTGCAACAGCAAAGACAGATTCATTCTTGGTTACATGAAGGGAAAAGGAAAAAAAAAAAAAAAAGAAAAAGCAGCTTTCAAGACATGAAAAAGCTTAATACAGATTGTTTTACTTTAAAGTATGTTCTTTCCCAAATAACCTTCCCCCCTTCCATTAGTCTCAAAGCCTAGCACTACCTGCTCAGGACCATGCAAGCTTTGATTCAGCACTATCATGCCCAATAGCTAAACAGTTTAATTTTGCATTCTTTAGAGAAGAGAATAGAAAAAAAAAATCCAAGCACCCAGAGGACAGCACACAACACACTTTTTAAATGAACATATATTATTACATCAATGCTAACCATAATGATTAAACTGTACTGCCATATAAGATCTCAGGTGTAGGTTATGCAAGAGTTCTATAGAAGGGAGGCCACCTCTGCAGCGTAGGTCACACAAAACACTCCAGCAAATTCAGGAGGCTGCTTAAGTATCAAACCAGAAAACGTTCCTACTTTTATTATTATTTTTTTTCAATGTGGTTATCACTGCAAAGTCTGGGATCTCTCTAGTATGACTGCATTGCTGACAGGTACTTATTGTTTTTGCAACCTTATAATTAAGTAAAAATCCCTGCCTGGTAAAAGGAGTTCTAAAGAAAAGCCCTTGGAAAGTCACTGGAACACACTGCTATGAAAAATGCTATCTTGATGCTCAATTAATGCCTCCATTAGTCCAGAAAGTTTCCCCCCACCTCCACTCTGGAATGATTTCACTCTACAGCAAAATCCTACCACTTTCTTTTCTTCCTTATTTATAGCACGGAYGTAATCTTTTTACTCAAGGAAATTAAGTGAAAGGATGTGTTTTCTGCACCAGCTCATCTGTTTTGATAGGTTTAAGAAACATATTCATATGTACTCCGCAGAGATACCTAAARAACCATTACAGAAAAGAAGGCTCCTTTGCTCTGCAAGACAACCCCTCCTAAGCAGGGGAAGCGAGGCACCACCTTGCCCTGCATTTGGTCCCTGTATCTTGTGCTACTTCCCCCAAAGCAGCAGCAGGACAGAAGGTCTGCTGGGGCTGCAGGCTCACGCCGTGTTCTGGATATCTCCGCTCACTGTGGCTAATTTGAGCCTCTGCAGTTCACTGTACAATGAGCTTAGTCAACAGCTTCACACAGAGTAGGCAATTCCATTAATATTCTATGGCGACAATATTAAATACTTAGCTAGGAAGAGAAATATTTGGCCAAGGCTGCTGCATAATTATTAGCTCTGACACAAAAGTCCTTTGGAGTTTCAGCTCTGTCTAGTGGCCTTATAATTACAGTCATTTGCTGACTGCGTATAACTTAATGGAGGTTGGTTGCTCTCAGTTAGTGGAATATTTTTCACGGGCAACTTCCATAGTTCAGGGTACTTAATTACATGCCGTTATGGTAAGAAAGACAAGAAGAAAGTTGACAAACACTCCTACAGAATTTCATTTCTTTTGTCCTTGCTGTGACTTAAGAAGCTGCTATAGAAGAGGCAAAGATGAAAAAGGACAAACTTGCACGCAACTTTCGTGAAGTTTTCCAGTTATATTAGAAGTAATTTTTATTCTGTAGTGACTGTGATTTATTACAGAGGGCACAGTATAATTTCTAAGCCAGGACATTAAAGGTAGACTGAGCAACGCAAATTAGAGCATGCTTTGCATTTCCATTACACAAAGGGTTTGTGCAAAGCTTTAAGAACTACACCAGATGTGCCTGGCCTTGCGATAAGCAGCAAGTTGCAAAAGATACAGAACCTGGGAAGCAAAAAAAACCCACAGAAGCAGCTGGCGAAGCCTCAGGCTCAGTTGCACTGGCTTGGGAGGGCAGCAGAGCACCCCTGTTAGCAGCRTCCACAGCTCAAGGTCAATGGACACTTCAAGGTCAGGCAACAACGCTGCCTTGCTGCCCCATTCCAGGCAGCTAAATGCACCATGCCCTCCTCCATGGGGGGCTAACAGTGCAAGCAGGTCAGAGGAGCAGTGCAGAGGTGAAGGTCTGTAATTGAGTCTGCTTCTCCTTGCTTTCTGCAGACTTGGTGAAGGTCCACAATCAAGTCTGCTTCTCCTTGCTTTACAGACTTGAAGGTCCATCATCAAGTCTACTTCTCCTTGCTTTCTACAGACTTACTGCTCATCTCATTCACTCGGTGAATGAGAGCCCCCAAGGATCCCCTCCTTGGCTGCCCACAAGAGAACCAGCACACACAGGAACCCCTGCAAAATACAGGGCTGGCGGCTCCCCCAAACAAATGCAGCCGAGATACAGGCCTGTCCTCTGYGATCATGCACAACTGCCTCAACAGCCAACAGTTTTACGTTGTGCACTGAACCTAACATCAAGGAAGTCCCATCAGCTCCAAAGCGACTGCCTTTCAGCACAACCCCAGTCTGAAACAGCAGCAGSCTGTTATCCTAGCGCTGATCTGAGCTGCCGTCCTACATGCTTCCTTACCCGCCCCGGGTCTCCAAGGAAAGGCCTTCAGCCGGAATATCCTCACTTGCCCTAGAAGRCACAGCTTGGAGGACACAGCTTGCCTGGACAACAGGAGTGACTACTCCGTGTGGCTCCTGCGTGGCCCGTGGGGCCAGCGCTGCCCTGGTACTGCAGGGCCCTGTTTGGTGAAGCCGCTACCACAGCRCCGGGGGCGAGCGGGACACGGGAGGCTGGATGAGGCACTGGGCCTGGAGCGCCTGCTTGGCACTGGGAAACTCCAGCCACACAGGAAGACGTTACAGGAACATACGTAACGCCTACTTGACTGAGGTGCCAAAGGAATCAAATCTGGGGTCAATGCTAAATGCTTTTTCCAACCATACCTTTAAACKCTACTCTGCAATGGTGCTGCAAGGCAGCTAGGCTGAGCTCACAAGCCGAGCTCCTGCTAGCAAACCCCACACGACCTTGCAGCATTCCTCGCCAACTCGGTGCCTTTTTAATATTTTCTCATGCTGCAAGTGACAGTGCAACACTTGCAGTACAAATCTAATTTTAAAAGCCTGCTTCCCATTCATTCATTGCTGCTTTGATTTATTTTATTAGCGAGCTCCTTTGTGTGGTGACAGAACTCATTACAACCTCCATAAAGACAATTACCAGCCCTTATCTATTAAACTGGAAGGAGGAGGAGAGAGGAAGAATGCGATGCGCATCAGTAAAACACAGCTAAACAGCATGAGAAAGAGCAAGGCTGGGGAACCACAACCAAGAGGCTGTCAAGGAATAACTGCAAAGGAAGCAAACCCAAAATAGCCGTGTGCTGGCAAAGGGAAGGCTTGCAGTCAATTAGCAGTGTTTGCTTGCTTTGAAACGAGGGTGCAGTTCACAGGCATGAGGCATCAGAACTGACATTGCTAAAAATACAGCAGTGTGAGGCAGCTGAGACAGCCCTGCTCCGCGGGCAGCGGCTCGAGCTTTCGCAGCAGCGCCGACACTCGCTGCATTCTCCTTCGGCCAGCGAAACTGCTCTCGGTTTTGTTGCTGTTTGTTAGTAACAGGGCGAGAAGGCACCTTATCTGCCTGCTTGATAGGACGGCAAACATCAGAGCCTCAACTTGACACACACAATTTCAAATAGTCATTTATCAGAACACCCCATGAGTTAAAGCCGGGCAGGCAGGCTTGCTGCAATGATCTAATCACATMTTATTAGGAGGCAAAAGGAAATTTCTCTCCTCCTCAGGCACAGTTTTACCAGGATGCACTGTGAGGGAGGAATCCAGCTGCTGGCACATCCGCTGGAGATAGGAGAAATCCTAGCAGAAATGGGGATACTGCAACACTTTTGAAAGGCCATAGTCTCACCCTAATCATATGGGCATAGACATGGCAAGAGGAGTGAAATAATAACACAGGTGACGGTGCTGCCACCTTCTCAGCAGCCTGGAGAGCTACTCAAGAGCYCTCAGCTGAGCTGGTGTGCTGTGAAAGCACAAGGTGATGCAGCCCCTATCGTCTCCCTGGGAAAGTTATGCTGATCCAGTTCCCTTCCTGCCATTTCRGAGCACAGAGACACATAAGGCAGCTGAACCTCTCCTCCCAGGCACACAGAGCGAGCACAAATTATCTGGGTGTAAGAGGTTTATGGTTTCCACAGATCTCACAATGAGGAGCCAACATTTCCCCAGAGAGGAAAAGCAAGAAAAAGACAAAAGCAAAAAAGCAGAAGAATGAGTTATGCCTTGAAAGAGAGCGCTGCTTCTGCACAAAATACAAAGCCTGGGGGATGGAGCAATGGAGAGAAGCTGGCCGGTTGTCTGAGCACCCACGGAAAGGTGGAAAGAAAAGGACCCGGTGGATACGCAGAGGGGGCTCTGTGCATGACAAGGCAGCTGAGAGGACAAAAGYGAGGACAAACAGCAATTCAGGAAAACCTCAGGCATCTGTACAGGGAGCATCAGCTGCTTTTGCAGCTGGAACTTACTGCTCCATAAAGGATTAAGGTAGCTAAAAAGGCACTGGGATCTGTGCGTTTGCACAGGGCCTTTTCTCCCACAACATTCGCTGGCACTTGCCGTCTGCAGCATTTCAGAGCCGTGACAGGGCTTTCCAATAAAGTGTGGGAAATCTCCCGGAATTTCAGGGGTCTCTATGTTCTTGCTGGTGTTTGGTAGCCTATTATGAAACCTGACCATGCACATAAAGTGAACTCAGAACAAAAACTCAACAGTCAACAGTCTGAAACTGATCTCTGCATCAACAGGAAAGGAAGGAGAAAGAAGCCACCCTGTACTGCAGCTGAGATCCATAGAATTAAGCAGCATGTGCTGGCTTAAAAAAGTGGCAGGATGCCCAGGCTGCTTCACTGGGGGCAAACGTGAGCTGCTAGAAAGCAGTTGGAATGTGTGCCTGGAATAAGCACCGAGGGCTCACGCCCAGCACCGACATCGGGAGGTAAAATTGGGAACATTATCAGCAGTGACCCTGGGCAGCAGCACTCAAGTGTCACCTGTACAAAAGGCAGAGGCGACGCGGGGCGGTCAGATACACCAACAGAAGCCACATAACCCTTGGATCCATGCAGAGCCTGCTTTATGCTGTGGAAAACCCATCCTTATGGATGCTTTGGGGAAAGCATCTGAAAAGATGCATTGATGCACAATCACCRGCAGAAGCACAGCGCGCATTTTGTGTTGCCAAAGCAAGGACATAAGTGCTGCTTATCTCTCCTTTGCCTCCTTTTAGCTGTTATTTTAAGGGTAACTCTCAGGATGGCTTATTTACACTTATTCCTTCAAATTTCTTAAAGGTTTTCGAATCTGTTTAAATACAAACATGTTTTTAAGTGAAATGGTATGTCATCTCATGAGGAATAGTCCAGATTCTTATTTGCTGTTCTTGAAGTACAATATGTACTTAAAGGATGGAGAACTACATCACTCGAGGTCTGAGGTGCACAGTGCACTTAAGCCTATTCAAGTCAGAGTCACCGCTCTTCCTTGTGGTTTCCCTACATTCTTTAAAAAAAAGGAGAGAGGAGATATTTATGGAATAGGTGAAGTGTAGGATTTCATGAGCCAAAAGGAATGGAAGCCACATCCATCGGGGAAAACAGGCAAAAGGACAGCAAGTGAAAATGAGCACAGACAAGTRCTGTATGAAGTAGCATTTGCAGAACAGAACAGTCTAAGCGCCCTCCATATATTATCCCGGATTAAATATGTTRATCTGCGAAAGAGAACAAAGTGGCTATACAGGTAACATAGGGTGGGTATCTGTTGGCTAAGCAGTAGCATCAGAAGAGGAGAGCTATCAAGTTGTGTTTAGAGGAGAGATACCTTGTCCCCTTGGGTGAAGTGTTCAGTTTTGTGCACGTCTTTGCAGAAAGACACAAAAGACTGAGAAAACCACGGAAGGAAGAGGCATAGGAGCGACTCCCAAACAACAAAAGCCACAAAGAAAGTCCATTGAACAAAGAAACTAGGTCAGCTGAGCTGGGAAGCATCAGAAAGAGACGGTAACAAGTGCCACAGAGAAATAATTGTGCGTGCTTATTTAGCCCTCCTCCAGAATACAGGCAAAAGTAAAACCACGGAGCAGTCCACACAGCTCCCAGGAGCAAACTGTGCCTCTGTTATAAAGACCTACATGGTTAACATTTAACAGAAGGAACGATGCTACCTCCTTCTCTACCAGGAGATGAATGTTTCGGTCACTCGGGGTTTGCTCTCGGTTTGCTGAAAGTCCCAATCCTTCCTCTCCACCTTTTGTGGGGAAAGGGGCATCCGGAAGCCTGCAGCTACAGGCACGCTCGGCTCCCCTCTGCATCTTCTCACGGGAGTTTTCAGCACATTTCAGTGCAGTAGAGCCATTTCTGAGCTAAGTAGCTCTGCTGAGCAGCATTGCTGCATTTCTGTCAGGATCTGAGACTGCATCTCTGCAGGGCACTGGGCTGCTCCGTGTAGATAAATGAGCTCTGAGCTAACTCCAGACTCTCCAACAGGAATTAGCACTAGAACCTGCACTGGCAGAGCTGGAAAAAAAGAAACTCTCTGCGTCATCATCATTCCCAATCTACTATAAATTTTAAAACAACTCATTTTGATAAATACTAGTGTTTTCCCTTTTCCAAATAGATAATTTTTTTTTATTGTTTGACACTTAATTGCTTGTTAATGAGCCTTGCTGCTCCGAGATCCCTCAGTCAATGTTTCCATTAATGTAAAGCAGTTGAAGAAAGTGAAATATTACAGACTTTTTGCAAGAGGAGAGTCAAAATGGCAATAAAGTTGTGTCCTGGCCAGGGTCAGGACTTTTCCTGCCTTCTCCCAACCTCCCCAACAACCTTCTGCCCTCTAGATTACTACAATTGCCCAGCAACCACTCAATAAACTATATCAAAAGTAATAGGCCAAGTACAGAAACAGTTTAGTTCCAGGTCCTTGAAAAGAGTTGTGAAGCATCCAAATGAGGCATATTTCCTTTACATTTCAATATCAGACAGTCCTTTATAATTCTTACAATTAGTTARCATCTGAGTTAGGCAATTTGTTTCTAATTTAAAGGTTGCCTGTATTTTAAATGTTTTTGTCTCCTCAATATGCTGTGTTTAAGCGATGCTCAGGGCCTAAATTCCACTCAAAGAAGGAGTTTTCTGTTAAGAGAATTTGATGCAACCTCCGGTTTGATGCTTTCCCAAGTGCCAAGTACTGATGGTTTCCCTGTTGGGTTGTCTTCAGCCTGAAAGCTTCTTCTCCAAAGGAAAGAGCCAGCTGCCAATGACAGAAATATGCACAGAAAACAAATGCAAGAGGCCCCTAAATAAACTTGTTTATCTCCAGTATCTCAGCAACAGCTCTGAATTTTAAAATACATGCAAAAATCTGTAAAGCATCGCCCATATGTGGCCAAAAAATTAAGTAAAAAAAAAAAATTCTTAGTGCAGCTTAAGAAGGTCAGATTTGATCCAATGGTTCAAGAAGTACAAGAACAGCACAGTACAAGACAGTACCTGCACCCACACCTCCCAAGCACAGGAAGAGATTCGTTGTTAGAGCTGGGGTATAAATTTTGGCACCTAGAATCTGAAAGATGTTTCCTCTTAGATAATAAATAATGCGAAAGTAGGTACTCCTCATCTAAACCCTGAACTTTAAATTATTTGACAGTACCCCGCCTTTAACTGCAAAATCTTAGTCTGCTTCTAAAGGTAGAAACAAAGCTTTAAGCTTGCCAGAAAGTGTTGAAGCTTCATAAATTCTGTGAACAAACCTTTTATTCTTGCAGTTCCACCAGAATTGTTAAATCCATCAGCCACAGATGAATGTATCAATTTATCCTGATTTCTGAAAATACACTGAGCCTCTTTCAGTTAAAACTTCTTTTTTGTTGTTCTTGTTGCAMAATGAAAGATAAAAAGGGGGTCTTTGCAGAGATTAATTAAAGCAATTTAGCCCTCCATAAATTATCCTTTCTGGACTGAAATAAAAGACAGTGTTTCTGAGAGGATAAACAGAGAGATGAATGCAGTATTCTTATTTCCTGCAGATCAAGCAGAGTGACTCTCTGAGGTGGCACTAGGGACAAAGGGCCTGCCCAGCCACTGTCATCGYTCTTGGAACCCAGCAATGACAAAGAGGGCCAAGGGAGAGGGACTGAACGTGTCAGTGTCCCCTCYTGCAGGGAATGACACGGCTACACGGTTTCATGGCATGCAACAGGGGATAAACAGCTCTAGCTGCAAGGACATCTACAGAGAAGGTCTCTCGCATGTGTCTCCGTTCCTCCCTACCATACTACCTCTGCAGAGCTCAAGGGACCTCTCATGTCACTTTATTGCTTGATTTTTTTTTTTTTTTTGGTAAGGAAATAGTGGAAGAAAACACATTGCTTGCTCTATGGCACTTGCCTGCTGAGCACAGTTTGATGGGTCTTTCAGCTGCATAAAACCACTGAGATTTGGGGAATTTGGAAATACCAAAGACAAAATGGGCACTGCATTAGTACTGCTACCCCATGCTAAGGCCAACTAGCTCTGCTCAGTGGCATCCAGACACCTAGAAAGTCCAATCTCCTAAAGAGAAACCACACATTGAGTGAAACACAGAGTTTTGCACAGAAATCTTTATCTCATTCCCTCTGGGAAGCCACCGGCCTTCAGGCAATGGGGACAATCCAGTGGGTTTCCTAGGACATACTGCAGAGTGCAGCATTCCCAGGTAACACAGATCCCACAGATCCTGGGGCCACGGTGGCTCCTTACTATTAGTAGCTGCTCTTGGTGAACTGGCTAGCTCTTATTTTAAGGACCTCAGAGCAAACAGTTTGATCGATCAATAAGTAACAGAACCGTCCTCCAGGCAGGCAGGTAATGATCCCAACTCGTTGCCAGCAACAACGCTGTTATTCCAGTTGTTAAGGATTTCTTATGAGGGAATTAATAGCCCCGGTTCCTCGCAGCCAGGAGTCTGCTGGATCGACTACACCCAGTAGGTTTCTCTCATCTCTGGGAATGCAAACTCGAGGCTCGGGCACTCAACAGGGCAAGCGTTGAGAAACCTGAATCATTTCCCCCTCTGGAAAGGGTGTTTTGTTGTCTTGCTAGGGAGGGTATGAGAAGCCCAGCAGTTTAGCAACCTTCACGCAAGCCAACTTGCCCCCGCAGGGAAGGGGGCACATGCAGCTGAAGCAGGGACCACAGCACAGGGGACAGCCCAGTTGATCATGCTCTAGAACTGCCCCTCCGAAGTGACGGGTTGACCGTGGCTGCTTCTGCTGCGTGCTGCCCTACCGCCCCCAGCTCTTCCACCGTCAGTCACACGCAAAAGCAAGGACAAGAGAGATCATTCACATTCGGCGCCTCAGAACAATTCYCACTTTCCAAAGCAAAAATAATGTCCAGAGAACGTAGCTCACCTTAAAGGATATTTCATACTGCTCTCCTCCCCATATCTCCAGACCTGCATCATACCCTCCCAGCTCCCAGAACCACTTTCTATCGACTGCAAACAGTCCTCCAGCCATTACAGGAGACCTTAAGGAAAAACCAGACTCCATATTACAAGCATATTCAAAGATACAGATCTCTAGCTAAACATTTATTTTAAAAAACAAAGCAAGATTTCACAAATATTCTTYTCACCACCCACTATTCACAGTGTTCTTTGCAGCCCCGTAGGAACAAACGTGTTTCTGCGCTCTCTGCTCATTTCCCACTTGCAAACAGGAGGACTAGACCAGGCTCCCTCCAGAACCAGTCAAGGCCTCTCCTCCAAACAGGCAAGAGAGCTGATCAGAAAGAGACGGGACGTCATCTCTCCTGAGGGACCCACATGCTGCACATGTAGTGCTCTATCTCAGTAGCATGATCAGGTCATTGAGCTTGACCTCAAAAGGCTTTATTTTTTATTAAAAAAAACCCCAACACTGCAGGAACGTAAGGGACAGAACTGCCTCAATGTTGGCAAGCACAGCAACAGCAGAACAAAACTTCATCTCAGATTTAGTTCTGCAGGGCACTGCAATCATCAAAATTGCTCTAATTATTCTGCTGGGTTTCCTTCCCCCACCTCCGAATGACATATGAGCTGCCACTGGTTTGTTGTTTTTGGCAGAGCATTAGGGATACTAAGCTACGTTTGAAAGAACTCGGTAATAAATGACCACATTAAATGTTACACATTAGTTTTAAATGAAATGTTAACTTCTGCAGGAATTAGAGTGGCAAAAAAATGGCATTGAAAAGGAGAGTGTTCACAGTTACGACACAATGCATTGCTCTTAAACCAGCCAAGCAAACGGCTGCCAGAAAGAGTAGCTTCCCACCACTTCTACTACACTGAGGTGTAAGCCAACATTGTAACAGGGTTTTATTTTGTTAGTCAGCTCCTATCACACTAAATTTCAGCAACTTACTCAAAGGGATCACTGGGATCAGGTTTCTGTAGCTCAGGAGGGATAGGGATCCTCTTGTAATACATCTCCCAGTCAAACGCCCCTCGCATGGCGTCTCCAGCCTGAGTCTCATACCCAAAGTGGTCGTGATCGATCACATCGATCATGGGGCAAACGATAGTCTTGCGGTTTCGGGCAATGCGATCTGCAGATTGGAGAAATAGGTTAGAAAACTTGCACYGTTTGGTTCCTTTGACCATTAAATTACAGAAAAGAGTATTGATACGTGAAGACAAAAGTAGCCTTCTTCTGCTTTGGTCTTTCAGGCAGATGCTTCAATTTGTGTCAGATTACCTCTTTTTTTTCCTGATATAACTGAGATAAACGAACACAAACCACTGCTAAAAAACACCAGCTACTCAGGCCACAATAACCATCACCCTGAAGCAGAATAGAAAGACCTAGCCAAGCTACCACAGATACCTAAAACACTAGGCTAAAAGTAGACGATCTCATGCTTACTGAGTTAACATTATTCATTTTAATGAGTGAACTGCATGTGAACCCTTACTGCACTGACCCAAAAAAGAAGGCAATAACCCATTGTTCCACCAACCCCAATGAGCTATAATTGCTGCACCATAATCTGGCAGGAAACAGCCCAGACTAATGGCATCGCTGCTCTTAGCAGTGTCAAGAAATGCATTTACACCTCCTCCCCTCAACGTTTTCTTTCAAGCAAATAACACTGGACAGGATTAACTCCTGCATAAACATCTGGAACTTATTAAATACTTTATTACTGCAAAAGTCTCTTGCTGGGAGTTAACTTTCAGAGCAGAGGCAACAAATGATGTCTTAGCTTCCTATACACATCTAACGAAAATACTTCCTATGCTTTAAAATCAAAGCATACTGTGGATGCTCTCATTTAAATGACATTTGAGCTAAAACTGTCCTCCCTCCCTGGGGCTCAAGAAGCTGCCAGTGTTTTACCCTATCCAGAATATAAGCATCAGACACAAGCTGTTGTGAAAATAGCAGCGTTCCCACCCTTAGATGACAACCAGCTGACAAATCTGCTGCATCTAGGCTGATTTTGCCACAGTTTATTCCACAAAGTCACATCTCAGAGATGGCTGACAGGTCACTTGCAACAGGGTGGAGTTCCTGCTTCCATAGGGAGCCAAGGAGAATTGGATACTCCCAGGGGCCCTCCTTAAATAGTTTGAGCTATGCGGGAGATATGACCGGAAAACCTGCTGAATTCTCCAGCAGGGCACAGCTCACACAGGAAGACACCTCCAAAACAAACCAAAAATGCAGACAGCACCATCCCATGCAGCTAAGCACAGCAAAGAATGAACAAAAAGGGATCTTGTTGCTTAGACGGAAGCCTCCTCAAGAGGCACCCTGTCAGCAGAGCAGTGCYGGCCAGAGGCACCCAGGTACTAGAGGCAGAAGGCACTGTCCTTCTAGTTAGTCAACTCTGAAATGAACTGACATGGTAAAACTGATGCCTCCTTAATGACAAAAAACTGCCTTGGAAAAGCAGAGCATGTTCTGCAAATACCCACCAGCAGCTGTTATTCACAAGTATTTTCTGCAGGCTTGCAGTCTATGAAGTTAAATATAGTTCCACGGGAGAAAAATCACCCAAAAGCTACTTAAACTGAGTCTAAAGATCTGTTCTGTCTCATAAAGCAAGTCCTTCCTGCACGCTGCTGAATGACCATGTGGTAGTTTACTCTTCTAGAAAGCTATAAATTATTTAAAATTTAATTTCGTGAAGAATCACAAGAATGGGATCTTTGCTCTTTAATTAAGCAAAGCATATTACAAGGCTATTTCACAGCGTAGGACTCTTGGATCGGAAAAACATAAGTCTTGTAGTAACGGCTGCAAGTTGCCAACAATTCACCTGAGTGTTTCCTCCCCACCTCTGCTTTTAGATATTTATTTCATCATCTTTTTATCCACTTATACCATGTGGACACAGCAGCAGGTGGAAATATAATGAATTCAACACCAGCATCTGCTGCCAGTTCTTTATCAGCTTGGTCTCCAGGTATGGACAGCACTTGACACCGGCTGCTTACCCAAGAGAGGTGGCAGCCAGTTCACGTTGGCCTCGCAGTGGGAATCCAAGAATGTGATGACATCTCCTATGGCCACTGAGGCCCCAAGCATCCGAGTTCTTATTAGTCCTTCTCTCTTCTTGGTTCGGATGATTCTTACTTTTGGGAACAGGGCCATGTAATCTTCCAGACGCTTCTTCAGGTGTTCTGTAAGAAGACAAGGAATTAAAGCATTGCAAAAGATGATTTCTTTAAAAAAAAGGTATCTTTGGAAGTAGGTTCTGAACAGTTAAAGACAGCCTTAGTTAAAAAAAAAAAGAAGAATGATTTAATTTAAATTCAAAGCTTAACACGGCCTCTTAGTCAAGAATTCTGAGGACACTGCAGAAGTTCAGGAATAATAAAAGAGGGAGGAGCCAGGAAGAGATAGAGACGTGGAAGACAGAAATGAAAAAAGCAGAGAAAAGGAAAGAAAAGAGTGAAAAAGTCTACTGGCAAAGCTCTGGGAGAGCTTTATCAGAACAGACTGCAAGGATTCTCAGACTGTTGTGAAAAGACTGACACATCTCAGAAAGGAGAGAGGACACGTTATTCTCACAAGTAAATTGCACTCAATGCTTTTAAAGCTGTTCCATTTCCTAAAAAGCAGAACATGACCATCCACTTATGCATAAATAAAAAGCATCAGAAAGCCTGGTCAAACAGCCCTCTAAGCCCACAAGGCAGGAATGGCCAACAAAGGAATTTAGGTGGCGGGAAAAAAAGGCTTATCGGAGGAGATACCTGCATTTAAGGATGAAAATATTGATGCCCTGAAATGCCCTTTTTTGATTTGATTTTTGATGTCCTGAAAATATTGAAGTCCTTATAGTCTTGGCTGTATTTGCAGCAACTACGACGATTGCTCTGCWATCAGAGACACAGACTAACTGCGTGAAGACCATTTTGCAGCAACTAATGAATAAGCAGTTACAAACTACAGGACATTTCTCCCAATTTATAGTGTAACAAGTCTAAAAAAATGGCACAGAAGGCAGTTTTCTCAAGCAAACACTCTACACAGAGCATCAAAAAGGTCTAATCCACTCTTTCTCATCTGCCCTACTAATCCCTACTTCTGCACCTGCAATCCAAACTTGCACGTTGGCTTCTTTAGCACTCCTCCCCTTCATTCCTGTATTCAAAACTACTAAAGTACTTCAAATTTGCAGTAAGTGACCTCCTCTGCTCTGCACTGGTAAGAAATTCCTCACGGGSCATCTGCTTGTGAGTCTCGTAGATGGAAAATTCAGGGAGAAGCAAGGGGCATCCCTGCCACCTCACGGATGCAGGATCCATCYTACCAAGCGTTGCTCTCTTCACCAGGAGAGGTGGCTGCAGAAAATGTGACGCCCAGTTGCTGTATGTTATAAGGTCAAGGCTTAGGTACCATGAACTGCACATTTGCAGATTTTATTGTACGCATTTTTGCTTACTAAAGAAGGGGCACAGACTTCCAAACACCCTCACAAAGTACAATGCAGTGCACTTCTCAAGAGCCTGTTYTCCCATTTCCTAATACATGCTCTATTCCCACTGTCCAGCCTTTGCCACATTCTTCTCCAAAAATCATCACAAGTGAGTCTTTTTGAGTTTTTTTTTTCCTTTTAAAAGAAAAGCCCAAAAACAAACAAGGGGCATTAACTGCTACAAAATTTTATGAGGCTTTAAAAAATATATTATGGCATCTTGTCACACTGAGTAATTTTTATTACAAGGGCAATTTTCTTTAATGAAAGTTGTTGMATGAACTGGATGGATTCCAATGGCTGCCTCTACTCTGGGCAAAGTAATACAGCCCGAACATATATAAGAGAGTTAGATTATCTGTAGATTAAAAACTAGACTGGTAGCTTGCTAACAGACTTTGCAATAAACTTGATATACAGCATATACATTAACAGTACCAGTCAAGAACTACTTATATAGCGGGCTTTTTTTTTTTTTAATAATTATTTTGAGCTGTAAATAAAACTCAGTGCAGAGAATAAGGAGAGGCTTCAACAGGAGGTCTAGATAACATAAACTCTCCAAAATAAGATGCTTTTTCTCCGGGCAAAATTCTTGCAGCCTTCTTATACTTTTAGCCTTTTTATTATACTTATTATACTGACCTTCTCCTCCAGCTGCAGTAGTTCTTCGTGCAAACCATAAACTGTCCTACACACATTTGCTTTTTGTGTCRTGATTGCTTAGAATAATTTGACCACTGCTCACACTTTTGACCAGTCAAGGTCATTAATAGACCCCAGAGCTGAAAGGATAACAAATTTGTTTATGTGGTCTCATCCCATTTAACCTGTATTTCCACAGATGCCTGAACCTGAACTTCAAACGAAGCCTTTCCTTTCACTCAGGAAAACTCTCCTCTGTTAGAGAAGGGCAAAGATTTAGCTATCAATAGAGTTCAGATAGCAATAATGTGCTCAGCCTCAAGTCTTTGCATATCTGTTATAGGGACATTTCTGCAGTGTTTGGCAGGCAGGAGGGTACCAAACTTCGAGATCTTGGGTTAGAAATAGCTAAATATATTGCAAGTATGAGTCAGAACCTGTGGCTAGATTCATGCCCCAAGAAGGGAGCAAGGAAATCTTTCCCTCTTAGGGAAGTATTCCTGATTTATATATTACTTTAGGCCTTATCTCTTTTGGCTTCTGAATTTTGCATTGTCTAGCTTCTTCACTTCACTTCTCCAGTGATTTCAGGTGGTTGCTCTTAGGCAGCACTGCAGAAATCAAAAATCCTTCTGGATTACTCAAGTGCTACCAGTGAAACAAATTCCCTCTGCTATACATACAGCCAATGCCCTGCTTCCTGCTTTAGCTTCACATGAGAGGATGAAGAGAGTTTAAGAAAAGAAGAACTTGACACTCTGGAAATTGGAGCACAGGAAGACAAAACAGGAATACATAAAGAATTTATTTTCAAGCAACTAAAAGTAGTTTCTCTTTCCTAAAAAAAGTTATTCTGGATATTTTACAAACATCAGACCCTAAAGTGTAACTGGTTCATTGGGCATTTGTTTAGAAGTTATCCCCACTTCCCTGTCTCTATCTTCCTACATCGTGACATGCTTATTTAAGATTACAAATGACTCCATTCATCTTGGCTCAGGTATGTGGTCCTAACACGCTGTTTAACAATTTAAGAATGAATTATACTCCTTCCCCAATCTATCACAATGTGCAAGTCAGGCCTCCCTGAAATAGAAAGCTCTTCATCGTTTAAATTAACTTCTCTCTGTTTTGGTGCAGATGAGTAATCCTTTTAAACAGCAAAATACTCTGTTACACAAACAGGCAGCACTTACACTAGTTTTAATTTTCTTTCAGCGTTTTCACCCTCTGATCACTGAAGCTGGTGGGGARGATAATAAACTGATTTAATAAATTGCACTGCTAACACCAGTCCCAACAATAGCAACTGATTAAGCTGATCACAGCCTTCCAAGCTGCCTCTTCTTACAAACAAAGAAGAAAAGACCTAGAAGCCAGAAAATTAATATCTTTTGCTTCACTGATTGCAGCTCTGTGGTGGAATGTCTAGAAAAGCCTTCCCAGCTCCCCGACCTGCTCTGCCAACACGCTGCCAATTTGGTGATAAGGGAGCCCTGCTCTCCATCGTGCCCTCTGCATCAGATGTGGGTCTCAACACACCTGCAGGAAGGAAAAGCAGGRAATAAAGTTGTATGGGCATGGGATACAAGCTCAAAGTCTGCCATCACACTTCCTAATGAAGAAGTCATTACTGTTTACATTAATTACTATAAACATTTAGAATTAACAGAGATGAGGCTGCTGGAAGTCTCACTCTCTATATTTCCTTCTAAATGTTTATTTGGACAAACAAAGCATCTATTTTGTGGAGAAAGTGCTTAACATCCAAGTGGCATCCAAGTATAAGTCAGGCTGCAAAGCTGCTGGGCAGAGAAATACACAGCAAATAATCATCTTAGCTACAACATGACCTTTTATTGGCTTGGTAAACTTTCATTTGTATAGAAGTCTATCCCAACAGTTTCTTCCCAAGGGAATCCAGGAAGATTCATTTACTCACTCTATCCATCTCTTCTCATGCTGAAAGGTTTAAGCACTTTTGGTTCATTAGGAGCAATAGACCCAACCTGTGCTCTRTGTCAGTTCTTAGGTCCTTTACCTACTGCTTCCCAGGGCAGCCTGCAAAATCATTTGCTCTCCTGCTCCACACTCAATCTTTCCCRAGGGGAACCACGATCCTCATTATCCGACTCCTCTACCTCACCACTTCATTAAATACGTCTGAAGATTAAAGCACCTACCTATGTATTTTCCCTGTTCTGTTGCCTACATTTGATGCAAAGGGGTGATTTGGTGACTCTCAGTCATTTCCGTGTTGATTGCTTTTAACATCAGAGAGCGTTTTGCTCCCATACAAATTAGCTACAGTTTGGGGGCAATGCAGCCTTCGTAGCAGCTGACACAGGAGCAAACTCCTTGGAGCACACTTAATATTCCGCTCGAGTTCGGAGTAGTCATGACGACTCGCAGGAAGGGCATTACAGCCTCAAACGCTGCCTTCAAATTGGGGGATCTGTGCCTTCATCTGCAGGACAAATACGTGAGTTTGATTAGCTGCTTGGTTAACCAGGAGAATGCCTGCTCAATGCTAACCCACTTACTAAATCGACAATAATCTTATGGACAGATGAAATAAACACTGGAAAACATCGAGAGAAGCCACCACCCCAGTGGCACTGACGCTTCCAGCAGTCAGATTTATATATGCACCATACACTCGTTCAGGATCCTGCAAACGCTCACGTCACTATTTCTGCAGGAGATAAAAATCATGAGAAACTAAACTAGTCTTTAACTCTCTTTAATCTAACGGCAAGTGCAGAGGGATGAGGCACAAGAGGCTGCCGTGGAGGGCTGAGCTGGTTTGCACAGCAGGTTACCTGCATTGGTGCAGGTCGTGTACTCAACAGGGTCTGAATTCTACAACCAAGAGGAAAAGCTTTCCAGCCATTGGCAAGACTCAGGCAGATGAATGGCTCTGCCATTTCACACTGAAAATGTTTTGGAACATATCAGAGCTATGACATTAAAGCTTTCAAAGTCTCTGAATATTGCTGGGACCCGCCTGCACCCAAACCRGTCGTTTATCAGCAAAGTGCATTTACAAAGAAC